TACTTTTGACTGAGGGTTTTGAAAAAGTACCTTAAATGGTTATTTTTCGAGTGGGTCACTGTGCGCTTCCATAATATTTTTCTCTTCAGGTTTTTTGCATAGAAACGATGCATGCAGTTGGGGTCGCTGTGCTAGTCTTTCGAATCCTCCCTGATTTAGACGCTGTGACAGGTAATAATCGCTTATTCAGCTTCTGTGTAAACAGGCTTTATGTTCTTTAAAGAATGCTAAGATTATTAAGAATACAAAAAATGCCCTCAAAAGATTTGCTTTATGTTGTTTTGAAGGTGCAATGCTAACAAATGCGATGTGTTTAATACCTTGTATGCTGTCTTTAATTAGCCGAAAGCCGAGTAAAGTTTCTTTATTACTGGTGCTACTTGACATCATCTGTATTGCTGCACAAAGCAGCACGTTTTGGGCATGGCCAGTCAGTTTTTTACCACAGTTAAATTTCGCAGTTGTAAAAAAGTCTTATGCCTAGTTATCAACATTAATTTGCTGCGAACTGATCGTTTATTTCTAATTGGTTGTAAAGGTACAGGCGCATGAGATTGCTTAAACATAAAGGAATTTTTTGCAGGCATTTAGTCAGTCGTTACAGAAACACGCTCTTAGTGTTCCCATAACACTACTTTTGATATCGCTTGCATGGTGGCAAAACTTTATTCATACCGACAGTGTTTTCCCACCAGTCAGAATGCTTGCAAGATATGCAATAAAGTTGGCTGAACGACGATCAAAAACTTATGTTTTTGTTTCATTATGGAAATGCTTTATTTATTTGCTGTCGATTTTCTTGTTTATGTCCTCCAGGTTTAGTTTTTGTCTCAAAATAGTATGACACCATCCTACACTTAACAATTTTTGGTAGCTAGAGAGTAGCATTGTCATTCTGCAAGTATTTTGATTTTAAGGGCTCCGTTAAAAGCGGGAAGGGGGAACGAGCATTTAGAAAGGATAGCTACAACTTTTTTCTTAAATGAACAAGTGTAAAATTGGAATTTCTGTTAAGAACCAGTTTTAATCCAGCGAATATAAAACAGCATCAGCAAAAGACATACAGCAGCCAAGCGTTGTTGCCATCGGAGAGTAAATCTTGCAGTTTTGTAGGATATCCACAGATAGTCTTCTACAACAAGACCCATTTGGTGAAAAAATAATAACTATAACCGGAATTCGATTAAACCAAACACAGCTACATAAATTTGAGATGCGAATGAGAGAAGAATATTCATCAGGTTTCTTATTTTACCGGATTTTTTTCCATTAAAAAAAAATTTAACATTAGAGTACATTTCTACAAAAAAGTTTTCTCTATGTGGGACTTTTGACTAATCTAACTATGAAGTTTGATTAAATCTGTAATAAGGTTTTATAGAACAGAAGCTTCTGACCTCTAGCTTTTTTAGACTACAACACAATAGATGCAGAGTCTTATAACCCAGTTATTCCGGAGCCTCCGAAAACTACCACAAAAAAGCCATCCTGGTATCCTGAAGAGCACAATGAGAATGTTATTGACACTGGAGAATATGAACATACCAGAAGGCGGAAGAGGCAGAATGATGACGAAAATGTTACTTTTGAGGTCAGTTTTATGTTACAAAGCTTCGCACATCAATTTTAAGTGCGTACTAAACATTTATGAGATTCATTAAGTACAGGCTACCGTCGCAATTGGTATGTCTTTAGTAACTTAAAAGTGTCATAAGATGCAAACTTTACAAATTCAGAAACGGCACATATAGCTATTTCACCATCCAAATCTTAAAACAAAGCGGGAGTCAATTGTAGCAACATTTTGCGACATCTTTTATACCAGGAAAATTTATGCCACCGATATTGCCCAACACTTCGTGTCTTATAGTATAATTCTAGATATATGACGATTTTGTGGTATTGAGACAATACACTAGTCCGTACGACGCGTTGTGGATTGTACTTGTTCAAGTTTTAGCAGCAATACTCTGCTACTACAGCTCCAAATTTGCTTGCAAAGTTTTTCTTTATTATCTTTTTTGATTCAGTATTAAATTAAAACTTATCTAACCATTTTAAAATTTCCATGCTTATAATCCTAGTTTTTTATCTTTGCTTTCTTCCAGTTTTTCAAAGATAAATCTGTAGTGAAATGACTTGTATGATAAAATACAAAAAAATTTACCTTTTAAAGGTGATGATGCAACGAATGGGTTTTGCCTTGCCAATAGCGCTGTCTGTACCTCTGACGGTATTAACTTTGAGTTCAACTTGTTTACACCGACGCGTCGATGCTTGTCATATGACTTCAATATTGACAAAAGTCTGTTGCTGTTGTTGTTGTTGTCAATTTTCTTTTTTGTAGCTGTATCGGTTTTTAAAAAATTATGAAGGTAGTTTGCAAATGCGTATTGTATCAATTGAGACTGCCAAAAATAGCACGCTTTTTTAATGTTCTTTCTGGCGAAAACAAAAGAATGCTAGGGGTTAATACGCTGAGAAAGACAGAAATTAGTGAGAGGGACAGCTGAAACCGACAGTGAATATAATCAGTTGTTATGGAGTTTAGTAAACTGAAAGAGTGCCTGAATTTTTTAATGTATTATGTGAGAAACAATCAAAATATTTTCTGATAGCTACAAATCACTGTACTAGTTAAGTGAGACTTTATTTATTAACTAATTATTTCTTGACTTTGTAAATTTCAATAATGCTGTTTAACGTTTCTGTTGTTCTAAACAAATAAACTTTAAAAAAAGATGTTTTAAGGCATTTACGACTGTAATATTTTGTATTTATTCAGGAGTTATTTTGGCAGTGCTACGATGATTATACTAACCTTCCCGGCTTTACAGCATCTGCGCAAACTTGGTTTTGGTTGTTATGGCTGCTTAGTCAAGTATGGATAACAGTTCATCTTTGGCGACCGCAACATGAAAGACTCGCTAAAAGCGAAAAGTAAAGCTGTTGACAATCCGAATCGCTGATAGTTTCTTTACTTTCTTACTAAAAAGTGCTATTGGCACAAGAGCATAGTGGGCAGGTAATAAAAAAAAAGAATAAATTTCATTCTGCAGGCTTTTCATCTTGCCTTATTTTAATGGTGCATTTGTGGACCAATCGCTGGCATTTAACAGACGACGAGATGATAAAATCAAAATAAGAGCTGAGGTTAGTTTTTCTCTCTGGAAGTCTTCAGCTATTACCTCTTTACTATCTGTCACTTTATTAACGTTTCAACAAATAATTTTGTCTGATTTGATTAATAAAGATTTAATTTTTTGGTTTTTTTTGAGTTACACAGCTTTTTAACTAATAATTTTCTCAACAACATAGTTTATTCTTTTTTTTTCAAAAATTTTGCAAAAATGAAACTGCGAAGTAAACTAACGGAACTGTGTACACAAAAAAAGTTCCGTAACTTTGTTGTTGGTGGGTAAATTTAAATAGTGTTGGGCCAAGTAAAAGTTTATGACCTCAGATTTGATGTAATATACAATTCATGTATGTTTCAAAAAAAATTGGAAGATATTAGAGCGCAAATTTCGCAAGATTATTATTATTAAAAAACGTACTTTTATTTATTTTTAGAAAGATATGTGTTATGTAGGAGTTGTGGGCTTGCAAAACAAAGAAATTATCGTAGTCGTCTTGTGAAACTGCAAATCGTGTCTGCTCAAGTAAATCCAAGTGAATATTTTTGGAGAACTTTAGCGAGATTCAACGTTGGAATTAAATTTTTCACAGTGAAATGTAAGCCTAGAAAGAGTCAGATAACAGAGTTAGAGAGGCTGAAAGAAACCAAGTTGAATTAAGAATAGAAGATTTTAGCAAAATATACCTTGTCTACCAACTGACTTTTCTAAATTTTCTAGTTATTATTTATAAGCCAGGGCAAGACTCTACTTATCAGCAGTATATCAACAAAGTTATCACATGTTCGGTGGAAATAATCTGCAGTTTGTCACAAAGTTTCTCTCGCATATTTTCATACAAAATTTGTTTTGAAAAGAAAAAGACACTGAATGCGGAGAAGAGCTTTAGTCAAGTAAATGTGACGTTACCTTATTTCTCGACTTAGCCAGATCTCTCGGAAGCAAAATGAAATTTAGTTGGCTGTTGTGCTAAATCTTGATTTACTTTACTTTCCAACATAAATTCTTTCTTATTCCTGAATAAGACTTTGGAGTCAGATTTTTCTTATCTTTTCCTCGCTTTACGGTAACTCTACTGAGGCAAATTAATAAACCAAATGAGGCTGCAGAAGAAGGCACAAGTCTGCTACATTAATTCTGTAGCACTTAAAAAAAGGTCAGTTACGAAGAAGTCGTATGAGGTAGGGAGAGCGAAAGTATTAACGTTCAGAAGTTGAATCTCTGTAGACAGTTAAAGTAACAATTCAAAATTTTAACTTTCAAAAAATATTAATGACAATTATTTGTTATAAACGTATTCTAATCAATGTCATTTAACCTGTTTAGTAATCACTTAATCTAAAATCTTCAGCACAAAAATGGAGTAATCTTTTGCAAACACCAGCACACAGCCTGATAAAATACTCTTCAAATTAATTATACTTCTGGCTGACTGAATTAAAATAAACTCTTTTTTGAAGAGTACAGTAAATAACAGGAAAAACTACGCTTTTTTGCACCAAAAATGAAAATTTATTCGAATGAGAAAAATAATAGGGGAAACAGTAGTAGGTTTTTATGAGTTTTTTACTGTGTGCTGTCCAAAATATTTTACAAACCTTTTTTAATTTAATTAGATCTACAAGCCTTATGGAGTACTACATTTTTATTGAATAAATTTGACATTTCTTCTTTCTTCCTTCCTTCTTCTTCTTCTTCTTTTTTCTTCCTTTATTTCATTTCTTCTCATCTATTTTTTTTCATTTTTATTTTAATTGTTAACTTCAAAGTTTTATTTTTAGGATTTGGAACTTGACGGTGAAGACACGTCAACCTATGCAACAATTCCAGGCTTAATAAACCCAAAACCTCCACCTTCAGTATGTAGCGCAACTTCAAGCAAATTTGAAACTGGTTTGATTAGGTTAGTTCGTCACCTTTATTTCAGTAACCATTTTTGCTTCTCTTCTACTTTGTCTGACAGTTGTGATTTTTTAATGACTGATCAAATTTGCATCTTAAGAAGATGTAGTGAATGTAATTTACAGAGAGGTGGCTTCCTCGGCCGATGCAGTAACAAAAATTTACGCTTGTGCAACAATGTGGCATGAAAGTGCGTTAGAAATGACTTGTATGTTGAAAAGTTTGTTCAGGCTGGATGAAGATCAGTGCGCTAGAAGAAATGCTCAGAAATACTTGAAGGTTCTTCTTTCTGAATTTTTTAACATTGTGCTAACATGCACTACCAAAGATTTTTTATAAGGATATAACAATTTATGCTACAAGCAAACTAAAATCCTGAAAATGACATAGTTTATAAACAAAAAATTTTTTAATTTTTCTTCTAGAAACGAAAAAATTTTTTTGTGCTTTATTGTTCATCTTCATTTTTTTTTGCGGATATTATTAGGTAATTTTTAAAAAAAAAAAGATTACGTAAATTAAGTTTCATAAAGTATAATATGTAATTTCTATTTACTCTACTTCATGAATTTCTTATTAAGGTAATAGACCCAGATTATTATGAATTTGAAGCTCATATATTTTTTGACGACGCTTTTGATATCAACGATTACGGAGAACCAGTTATCAATAAATATGTGAGACAATTTATAGAAAAAGTTGACGAAGCTGCGAGGTCAGTTTTTCTTTCTTGTGAACTGTAAAAATCTAAATTTTTTCTTTGCATTAAAGAAATTCATAAAAATTCATGTTGGAATTACTGAAAAAGGAAGAGGTTTTAGTGCTGTTCACCAAACACAAATGCGGTTGAAAACACCAAAAAAGACTACTACACCATACGGAGGAAGAATAAGTTACTTGTTGCCTGGCAAAAATCGTATGACTGTCCACCTAAAAGACAAGAATAAGATACGCCATAGAAAACGGTGGAGTCAGGTACGGATTAAAAAAGTCTTAATTTTTGTTCAAAACAAAAAAATTGTGCAACCTATCGTGTATAAAATATTTGGTTATTATTTGAACTTACAGGTAATGTATTTGTACTATTTGCTCGGGTATAGGTTAATGATGAAGGTTGATGACCAAGCAAGAAAAGAGATAATCTCTGAAAATACATTTATATTAACGCTTGATGGTGATATTGACTTTACTCCTCAATGTGTTCATCTGCTAATTGATTTAATGAAGAAGAATCGTCGTTTGGGAGCCGCTTGCGGTCGAATACATCCTCGCGGTTCTGGTACATACCCTTTTAATTACTTTTTCTTCTTTAATTTCAAACTGAACGTAGAATATTTTTCAAATTTTCAAATTAATTGCTATGTATAATGTATAATAATTAGCAATAAGAAGCTCAGTATGAAATTATTAACGAATCAGGTCTGATGGTTTGGTATCAGAAATTCGAATACGCTGTCGGTCACTGGCTTCAAAAAGCAACGGAGCATATGATTGGGTGTGTGCTCTGTTCACCAGGATGTTTCTCTTTGTTTCGATCTTATGCTTTAATGGACGACAATGTTGCTCGCCGATATGCTTCCAAAGTACGTTTCAAAAATTGCATGAGCTTAATGGTTCAAGACTTTATTAAATACAATAATGATAGAAACATTTTGCAGTCAGAAAACCCTGTTGATTACATACAGTACGATCAGGGAGAAGATCGATGGCTTTGCACGCTCCTATTGCAGAGGGGATACCGGTTTTTTTTTTCGCTTATTTAAGCAGGCATTATACTGTAATCTCAAATTTTAAAATTTTGTCGAATCTTAGGGTTGAATATTGTGCGGCATCAGATGCTCTTACATACGCACCAGAAGGATTTAACGAGTTTTTCAACCAGCGTAGACGCTGGATACCATCAACTTTGGCTAATATTATTGATCTGTTAAAAGATTATAAAAATGTTGTTACTGTCAATGAGTCTATCTCAATCTGGTTGGTGGAAGTTACTGTTACATTTTATTAGCCTGAAATACAACATTGAAATTAAGCAGCAAAGAACATATTATCTGCTATTCAAAGAACGATTTGTTTAGGTACATTATTTACCAATGTGTAATGCTAGTTTCTTCAATTCTCGGTCCTGGAACTATCTTTTTAATGATTGTCGGAGCTATTTCAATCTCATTCAACATAGACACGAGCTGGAGTTTGCTAGTCGTTTCTCTCCCAGTGGCATTTTTTTGCTTCGTCTGTCTCGTTGGAAAACCGGATAAACAGGTCAGTGTTTCTGTTTTTAAGTGGCTTTGAAGACTGGACTTTTAGAACAACCATTCTTGTACTTTATTAGTATAAAAGATACAGAACTTTTTATTCAAAAATACAGAAGTTTTAAAGAACATTTATTTTTAGCTTCTGGTTGCCCAAATAATTGGTGCTCTGTTTGCAATGTTAATGAGTGCAGTAATCGTTGGAACTTCATTACAAATTCAAAAAGACGGCATTCTTTCACCCCATTCTATATTTTTGTTTTCTGTTATTGGAAGGTTTGCTTTATGTCTTTTAAGGCAGTGGATTTTTATATTTATGTTAATTAAATAAAGCAAAACTTCTTAATTGAAAATTTTTTAAATGGATTTTAAATGGCGTTAATTTACGTACTTTTAGTTTTATAACCGCTGCCATACTGCATCCTCTTGAATTTACTTGCGTCATACCTGGCCTTCTGTATTTTTTGGCAATTCCGTGCATGTATATGCTTCTGCCAATTTACAGCCTTTGTAACTTGAATACTGTTACATGGGGGACAAGAGAAGAACCAAAAAGTACTATTGTATAATGCAAATCGATAATTACTCACAACTCAGTCATGGCTTTTAATCAGAAATTTTTTTCTTGTTTTTAAAAGTTAAAAAAGAAACTTTCAATATTTGGTAAATTAACAACATTTTTCAACGCTCAAATGATTTTCCAGTTGGTAACTCTGGTGGCCACAGAAGGCAAAGGAACGGTGCTCATTTGGATGTAGTCGAAAGCTGTTACGAAAATGATGTCAGTTTTAAATTTGGCCACTAATCTATACTCATATGTCAGCACTGACCTCGTCATTTCCCCTAGTCTAAAAAATTCTAATTGGCAAGAGAAATAGTAGCTGTTGATTACTATTTTCTCAAACGATAGCCTCGTCAAATACAATCATTGAACTTGAAAAAAACAATGAATGAACTTTTACATCACAACATCTTTTTACTGGACTAAGGTTGTTTTGGCGTGCTAATAATTTGCTCACAAGTTATTTTAGGTGGATGGAGAACTCTCATTGGGTTGTGGCAGCGCTTGCCGGTTAATTTGCTGCTTGAAACCAGACAGGCTCGAGTCATCACCTCAAGTTACTATAAATTTTTTATTCGAGCCTTTATTCTGTTTTAGTCTTTAGTGAAGTAAGGTTAATATTCCATTATTTATGTTTTCTATTAAACATTTTAGGCTGTGATAAAGTTTTCTAGGTGTGGAGGCTGAATGAGAAATTAAACGAAATTAGTCGCAAATTAGAAAAGTTAGAGAGGCGTTCAGGTGCTTTAGCAAGGCGTTCGTCAGTAATGAGTACGACCACCACAAATGTAGATAAGTGGAATGAAGCAGACGAAGATGACCAGGTAGAAAATATCTCGGAGTGAACTGAAACTTCCATAATCGTAACAGTATGGCAGTGTTTAATCTTAAACTGCTCTTGAACAATCAGTATTTTCAGGCTGAACTTGACGATAATCGTGATATGAGCAACCAGTCAGCAGCAGCAATGAAAAATCGAAAGTGGAAGCCTGCGGCTAGCGAAGCATGGTTAAATGAAAGAAGTTTACGCCGAGCTGAACGGGATTATTTGGATATAGAGGAAGAAACCTTTTGGACTGATGTTATTGAAAAATATCTCACTCCTATCTCGGTGGATCCTAAAGAACAAGAACGTATTCGAATTGGGCTTACTGAACTTAGAAATAAAGTTGGTTATTAAAAAAGTTTTTTCAGTTTTTTCATAGTCTTGGTGATAAAAGCTTTATTCCGATATGATGGGACTTTTGAAATTGGTAGCACCAGAAGTCTTCGGCCAAAAGCAAAAATTCTTCTCTGATAAATACTTTTGAAGGTTTGTTCCGGCTTCTTCATGGTTAATGTGGTTTTCATCATTATAATTCTCGTGCTGCAACTGCAGAAAGACTGCCTGCACGTTGAGTGGCCATTAGGACCCAAGTTCAATCATACTGTCGTTTTATGCAATAGTGATACCCGCAAAGAAGTTTGGGTGATGACAAGGCTTCAGCTTGAACCATTAGGCCTCGTTTTTCTAGTGTTCTTCATGTCAATTCTGATTATACAGGTAAACTCACTTGCTTCAATTGTTTTAAAATTTAAACTTCCTTATCATGCTTTCAGTTTTTTGCGATGTTGATGCATCGGTTTGGTACACTGGCACACATAATTGCGTCAACGGAACTGTTTTGTTGGAGAAAACCGTTAGACCGACTAACCGAAGATGAGCTTGTAGTGCAAAATGCGGTAGAAATTGCTCGTGAGCTACAAGCAATCAAAGGCGTTGATGAGGCGCAAGAAGAATTTGTTCAGGTGTTATATATCGTAACTTAAAAATAAGCATTGTGTCCGAATAATCTGGCAAGATCATTTGTAGGAAGAACGAGCGATTTCTCGCCGCCGAGTAGTTCAAAATCTTGAGTCCTCAAGAAGGTCGATGATGAAAAGAAAAACAGAAACGCTTGACGCTGCATTTAAAAAAAGGTTTTTTGCGCTCTCCAGTGAGAATGCTGAAGAAAAAACCGGCTTCGGAGGTCGCGAAAAGCGTCTCACTTTACGAAAAGGCACTATTAGAGCACTAGAACAGCGAAGGGATTCTTTGTTTGGCACTATCGATAAACGACATGTTCGTAAAACCGTTTTTTGCAAATGTTTCAGTTCAATGTTACAATGCATATGAGAATCTCTTGGTAGATTTTTTTAAAAATTGTAAACAAAGCGGACATTACCTTTTTCCACTGCAGTCCAAATTATTCTTTTTTTTCTACTACAGTATACAAAAGAAAGTCAAATTGAAAAAAAAAAATAATTAAATGGCTCTTTTTTTTAAAGGACAGTCCGTATAACGACAGTAATGCAGAAGGAGCGTCTAGAGGACCAGCTCAGAGACGACTTGAAAGGCTGTTCAACCAACAAGATGGCACTTCGGTAGAAAGTGGGTCTCGAGCGCGAAACCGGCCAGCAGCACAACCGCAACAAAAGAGTCGAGACTATGCTGTCACTCGTGAAAAGGATTCTTGCTTAGACTCTAGGTTCTAAGCTAATGAAGCTGGTTGATTTTTAGTAGAAAATTGTGCTTCATCGGTGAGAACAAGATTGGCTTTTAAACGTATAGTCACTAGTGTGTTTTCACCTGTGGTATAAAACATTCTGCTCTTAAAAAAACGTATTCATTCATCTCTTTTGATGTATATATTGTTGGCTTGTTTGTGAATTTTATTAAAAGATACATAATTTTACGCCATATTCAGCTACAGGCACTTTGTTGCTCAGCACAAAGTCAGTTCGGTAGACTACTTCAAAATTTTTAAAACCAAATTTTTAAACTTTAACCTCAGTCACAACAAATTTAACCTTAATAACTTTAGTTTTTAAGTGAGAAACTATAGTATTTTCCAAAATCTATTTAAGATTTCGTCCTACTGCATATCAACCTGATAAACATTAGTGTCCAACAAATTGTTTCTTCCCTCCTCTCCTCCTACAAACTGCAAGGGAAAACTAAGCCTTACAAGTTCATGTCAGTTGATATTCATAAGTACAGTTAAATGTGTCTGCGCGTTTCCTATACTGTTCTATATTACTGTTGTAACGTACGTAAGGAAGCCTTTGGTAATAATGAATGTCCAGTGGTCTAACACTTAAACCGTAAGTCAAAGCAAACAGATGTTGAGTCCAACATACAATAGCTCCAAAATCGAATTCCGGCAAAAACTTATTGGCGAATAAGTAGTGTGAAGTATCGAGTGACTTGAGGTCCTCAGTTCCAAAGATACAAATAGAATGCCGCATATGCTTGCTACCACACTTCTTCTCGTCGTACCAGATGGAATACCTTCAATAAAAAGCTTGATTAAACTTTTCAAAAATTACCAATTTATTGTTTTGAATACAAGAAATTTACCATTAGGAGCATGTTTTTTAGTTGGCAAATGAGCCTGAAGAAAGTGTTAGCAAATACAATTTCAGTAAACTTAGCAGTTGTGAAACAGAAACATATTAAGTGAGCACACCTTGTTATGAACGCAGGTTCATTTGTCAAACAGCGAAGCGTAAAGCCACCGGGAATTGCTGCAAATTTTTAAAATCACTATTGGTTATGAAGGCGGTACGAAAAGTGCACACAGCCCTCTTGCGAGCAGTAAATAATATGCCTCCAGATGTACACAGCGGTGGCCATAATTTCAGCACCGATGGTAAAAAAACTTTTTTAATCTAATTCCTCTAAAGAAGTAGCCTTCTTATTCTTTATTTTTCCTGTGCTTTTTTTCACTTTAAGGAATATGTTCTTATGAGTTAGCTAAAAAGAAATACTACTTTTAGACATAAAATTACTGTAAAAAAACTACGAATATCAGAATAGTGGGGATCAAGATTTCGCCAACGGTTAGATAAACTTAAATATTCATGCGAAAGATGATGAAAATGAAAGATGAGGGACGTACTATTAGCACGAGAGTACTTGGTACTTTGCCGAGTACTCTCTTTTGCTTGATCACCCTCTTCAACCTGCTTCTCATTAATACTGCCAACCACCTACCTCTGTTCTTTGATACTTAACTCGGGCTCTTCCCAGTTCCACTAAAAGAGGCTACTAGTTGAAAAAAACGGCTTCTTTGCCAAAATCCGTTCCTGCAGACGAAAATTATGCAAGCGCCTATGCACAATCCTGGTTACTGATGGTGCTACTGCCTTCGCTTTCCGCCTCACCCTGTGAGTCCACAGCAGTTCCACTCCAGTCAGCCGACTGTTAGTCTCTGACAAAGGGTAGAAAGGTCGGTCCGTCCCATCAGTCGTTTTTCTCCTAACTTCTTTTTTTTTTAAAATGCTTCCGGTTTATTTCGTTACTCTAGCTGTAGCCACTTAGGTAGACTCAGAAAATAAAAGATATTTCGTAACAGCCAAGAAAATCAGACTTCTTTTTTTAACCTAGCAACTACTGATTGCTCAGATAAACCAAACTTTAACTCACAGTGCACATCAAAAACAGTAAAAAAACACATTGCAAAGCAGCAAAGAAGCTTACTAACTCAAAGGCAAAGGCAGAATCTTTTTAACTCAGCGTATTATAAGAGCAGAGCTAGGTATGACTGAACTGTAAGAGTCCCTACATGCTAGGAATTTTTCTACAAGTCGTCTTTTTTGGTTCATAATTCTAACTTGCCAGAAAAAATTGCACACCTCAAACCCTTAGTATACTGTTCTGTTGTTTCCTTGCCGAAGATTAGAAAAGTTAATACTAATTACTTCTTCAATTTTGTTTGTTTGCGTTATTGATTCAAAAACTGTGGTCGCCACCATATATATA